TATTACAAAACATGACAAGGTGTTGATGATGAGTAAAGGGTTTTGGTCAAGTCTTTCTAGTATAGACCCACTAATTTTAATGAATAATGGAGGAATTGTATTACATTGGTAAACATCCCTTTTGAATAATAATGTTGTGTAATCAACATCTTAAGTTTCAGTGAAATTACAAATAGTCTAGGCGTAAACCCACTGATTTGGGAGGTTGCAATTGAGAGAATACTTCTGTGGTAATGTCTGCGACTTTGATAACAGTAATATTGCACTTTCAGAGGTCTAAGCTTCTATCTGATTCCCAAATCCTGGTATTTAGTGATTTTATTCACGATAATCCTTCAGAAGGATATGATAACAGACTTCAACAAGGTTATACGGATTGCTAGCCAAGCTCGGTAGCCTTTCATATAGGCTATCGGGAGAATTTTTCATATCAGTTCTGTCTTTTAAAAAGTATCTTAAAATGACAATCGCAAATTAATACATAAGTATATGGACTGTCAAAGGAGTCTATTTTTAATTCTCGATGCACTACAATCATATTGAACATAGTATTTATCTCAACATCAATAAATGACAATTTTTTAGAAATCAAAACTGAGACTGGAAACAGGCTATCATAAAGGGCAGTTTAAATTGTCTACTAGAATAGTGCATTGATGAAAAGTTCTTCTGTTTCTAGTTCTTGTTCATTTCATTAGGGGAAACTGTGAGCTGGATTTCAATAGCACTTTCTATTTCTATGGCTCGTTTCGTATTACCATCGATTGCATGTACCATGTAAACAAACTTTGAAACGAGAATAATTTCTCTGATCTGTTGCTCTGTCTAATTAGCTAATTGGCTTTTAAGAGTCTCCTTTCTTTTCTTTTTCCACAAGGGGCAGTTTGGTGGTCTATTTTAAGTCAGATTTCTATGAAAAATGGTTTCTCTTGTTGAATTGGTAATGCATCACAATTACAAAAGTACTCGAATGATTGAATCCCCTCTATGAATGAATGCTGAGAGTGACAGTCATTGTAAGCAGGATATCAATTAACTAAATGACTAATTCAATGAGAGGATGATGGGCCTTGTAAATTGAAGCCCTTTTTAAGTACAAGTGCCAATCAAATAGCAAGAACAGATTCATACAAAGCCTCTTTCTTCCATCTCAAATTGCTATATCTTGCTCAAATAAAAGTCCCTCAAGAATCATAACCTTGAAACGAATAAACAGCTTCATTCAATAATCATTAATCCACCTACACTTGGAGTATTCGTCCACTCATGCCCTTTTCCTTTCAGAAAAGTGCGTTTCAAGTTTCAGAGAGCACACAATAGACACAGGGGCTAGTTTTTCTGGTGCTTCTACAAGCTCTTGACAAACAGGGAACAATCACAGGACAAAATGTTTACCCTCCTCCCTGCAGCCAGCCAGGCTGCCGGGCTGGCGGGCGGGCGGGCGTACTGGACCCCATCCGCTTATTGACAAAGCCCTCCTTTCATGGGGTAGTTATTCCACCTCTGCTTTCATCCAAGATCAATTCATATCAGAGTGAAAAGTTAACCAGAATGGGTGTTCCTGAATGGAAATAATGCCCAGCATACATGGGCCAGTGTTTTTTTGGTGGGGTGGCTACAGCTAAGCTAACATTTGGCAGGCTGCCTGACAAGGCGCACGAATCCCCACCCCCTGAGCGAGGTCAAGCCAGCTACGTTAGCCCCGCGATAATTTGTCGCAGGACCTTGCCAACCAATCCATCTCGGTGAAAAGCCAGGCGAAACGATCGGCAGCCATATCGCGCCCGAGGGGGTCGCGGGCTGTCGTAATCGCAACTTGGGGAATCGTGAAGCTGGCAAACCGCCGTATTGATCACGGCATCTAAATTCAATTGAACTTGTCTGTAATGCTATTCTGTCTCTTCATTACCTGTCTATCTTGCTTCCAGATCTTATAACTCCTTCACCCTCTCGTTCTCGTACCCTCTAATCCTCCCATTCTAACACTAATTTTTCTGTCAAAGAACCATGGTTTGATAGATTAGAAAGTCATGCATCATTAATCTCTTTTACACTCAATGATAGCATTTAAAACCCCACCAAAGTAATCTCAACTATACACTCTGTTCAATAATGAGCAATGTTCTATCAAAAACTACAGATTCAACTGGCTCTTAATAAGACAATGTTGTGTTGAATGTACAAAGATTTTGAAGTTGTCTTGTGAACGTTTTTCCTGCTTTTCACCCTAAATCAAATATTAGAATGGAATAAAATGGAAAATTTATCATGAAAATGTATTACAGTTTTGACCAATACAAGCTCCTCATTAGAGGAATTCCATGATCTTCGTTTCATAAACTGTCTACAGTTTTTTGTTTGTACCAATTTTGGGCATGACATTCATTCTCTTGCACAATATTACTGATTGCTTTAATGTTTCTGTAAAAATGGATGTCAATGAGGTTTAGATTCATATTTACTACATAAAGAATGACAGATAATCACCCCATCAAACCATTTGTTTTTGTTACTCCATTATAAAACTAAGATATCAAACATATGTTTGTGATATTTGATTTTAAGCTTCTGATCCTTCCCTTTAATCCTGCTGATATTTATTCCTTTATTCAGAGACAAACTAAACACCTTCCAAGCCATGTCCTCCCCCTCCACAGCTCTGATGGAAACCACAAAGCCTGACCACCATCGTCTTGTATTCATTTATGGGGTGTTATTTTAGAGAACAAAATAAGCAATGAGTTTACAAGAAAAGGGAAGACGGAAAAGAAAGCCCTCCCTCGTTGGTTGTGCGACACTTCTCCCGTAATGCTAAACACGTTTCGATGCGTCCTCTAATTCCGTCAAATCCAGAGATAGATTGAGATCATCTCGAGAAAAAAAACGGTAAATCCCCACCGTCTTGGCTAGATGCAGAAGACAACATCTTGGGATGAGATCCGTAGATTCTCGGATGCTGGATAGCAGCAGGTAATTTGTGTAGATATTCCCTAATGTTGCATTGAATGATGAAGTGACAAGACCTATTTTTCCAAATTTGAGAATCCCAGGAATTGCAGTTTATTTGGGGTCTTTACTTTAAGCCTGTTTAGATTTATTTCATGTCTTGTGTTCAAAATAAAATAAGAAAAGAATATAGGTAAGTCAAATAAAATGTCCTTATAATCTAAAGGACTACTATCTTGACTTTTAACAAGAAGACACAATGGTCTATGTAAACACTGGGAAAATGAAAGCAAGTGACAGGTTGGGCAACAACAAAAATCAAAAAGAACTGTGATTGTCGCGCTTTTTTCACATCACATTCCACAAAAGAATTATGTCCTTAAAAGTACAGTTTACACAGCCGCAATAAATGAAAAGGATCTACAAATATGCCTGGCATGTCTGCCACGTGTGGAATGCTTTTGTTGATGAATCTTCTGAATTGTAAGCTGTCTTCCTATCTCTGTAGCTTTGTTTGATCAATAGATTGAACCAGGCAAAGAACACCTGATAATGATGGTCCATTCATAAGCACAGCAGCATGGTGCCTAATATATTCGCTGGATCAATCCGTAGTCATATCCCATGACCAAAGACCTGATAAAATATAATCTGCCATCCAAACAGATCTATACAGGCAGTGTGTGAGTCATACCTGGTGTGATACTGTATGGGTGACATTGAGAAGACCAGGAGGGGCAAGAGATGCTACTGGAAGGTAAGGTATGCTAATTAATAAGCCTTTTTTTCGGACAAACAGTTACAGGTTCATAATTTTACCATTTGCTTGAGCCTTTGTTGAAATATAAATATTCCACCATTATTAAGAAGTATCTATAATGATAGATGTGCCACAAGTTAGACCAAGAGTTAATCCTACAATTGGACACGATCTGTCTTTTTATTTCTTTTTTTAAATAGAAGAATTGATTTTCTGGCTATGAAAGCATGACACATTCTCATTCCTTTCATATTTTTTATGGATCCAAAGTGTGATAAATATCCTGGAAATTAATTCATCTCAGGCTCTTAACGGGAGTCAAGCAAATATTCTCTTGCAAAAGATTCCACTAAAAACTCAAACACAGCTGAACTGTGAGCTGGAGATGTAATACTTCTGCAGGTCAAAGCATAAATACAGATGCATACATTTTAATATTTGTGGTAAACTATTGGAAAATAAATATCAAAATGAAAGAGTGCCGACAGAAGATGAACCAAGTCATCCCATCGATTCCACTTTCCAAATTAATAAACACAGCATCCTATATCATTCAATCTCTGGCAGCACTGTAATATCAATGCTTATCTTTTCAAATTTATCGTCCCCGAAAGTGAAAGTTGACTTCAACAATGTTAATGCAATGAGGGAGGCCTTCAGCAGCTCAATGTAGAGCTTCAAGCAGTCAGAATCAACCATGCACTGACACACCAGCGAAAGTGAAAGTGATTTTCCCTTTAACCCAGTTTTCTGCGAATTTCAAATTTTTCAGTTCAGTTAAAGGCTTTGTTGGGATGACTAGGGGGCAAACCCTATATAAATCATCAGATCGCGAAAAGAAATGTGCTTGGAAAATGGAAATAGAATCTCCCCAGGAGTTTCTTTAATCAATACATACAAGTCTGTAAGAGTCTGGATCAGGAAGATTCAAAAGAACAAAGACTGAGTTTTGAGAAAAGTTGGAGATTCAATTTCATTTTCAAATGAAATTCCTTAACATATGCAGCTTCTTCTGTATCAAATGGCTGATTTATTTGCTCGCTACATGTTAATTGCAGCACGACACAATTGTATCCAAAGAGCTATGAGGCTTCAGCACAAGTAGAGACTTCCTTCAGGATGTTTTCCCTTTGACAATCAAACATGACGCGACATGTTTCAGGATTATCAAAACAAACATGAAACACATCAAACCTGATCAACATGTGAATACAGAGCACAGACAGCACATGAAAAAGATCATTTTCGAGTGAAAAAGACCATTTTTGAGTGAAAGAATTGGGGTATGACTTACGTCTGGGTTCTCTTGGCCCATCCACGGTGACCTTTATTGCACGGTTGTAGGTAGCGATCTGGGGAGGGTTGGTGTAGATGAAGATGGACAGGGTAAAACTCTTGCCTAGAAGAAGAAGAAACAAATGTAAAAAATTGTTTAGTAAATTTAGTATAATAAATACAGTTTAAATTCAAGTGTAAATGCTTTGGATAACTGAAGTATGGGATACAATATGACTAATGTCATTCATGCTATTAAATCAGATTATATAACTACAACAAAGTAAAGTAAGTAAAACATTATCAGAGTAATGAAGGCCTGCAAAGTTCAAACGTTGGATCTTCAATTATGATCATCGAAATTAAAGATCAAAAGTCTTTGAAGCATTTTTTCTTATATTAAAGGCATGCTTGGAGTCTTTCTCTTAGTATTGTAGACCTTTGTGTAGTATGATATATTAAAAACATATGTTGCTTCCGTAACCATTTCTGTATTTCAATCTTCTTTTTAATATACACAAATGCACTGTGTATATATGTACAGTATGTTGAAGAATACAACCTCTTTTCAAGTAGTCAAACATTCATGAGTATGACAATAATTTCATGTATTTGGGAACTTCAGTCACTTTTATCAAGCTCCCTACAGAGAAAAATGTGTCTTAAGTGGAAATGTCCCATAAAAAATCATTTCCAATTTAGACAGTTTCCCGGGTAATGGCTCCCCAAAGAGAAGAGGAAAGTTTGATTTCATTTTTTTTTTGGAGAGGCTGGCAAGAAAGAAATGGTGAAATGGAGAAATGTCTTGCGGTGCTATGTTCGAACTGTGCGGACCCCCTAGAGGCACTGAAAAATACGCTCCTAAACTCACAACGACTGCCCGTGGAAATCAATACTTATGAAACTGTAGGGGAGAATGTTATTAAAGAAGGATGAGGGGCGCTTAAGCCTGGAGTTATTTATTGACACTTATATAAGGTAATAAGTAAAGACAAACACGGGGTATGTCTGACTAAACATCCCAGGTTTGTAAACTAATACAATTATGTTACCATGTCTGAATTGCTACATGCTGTTATCAATTTTCCATCTGCCGCTGCTATGTTTCTCATTGTTCAAGGCTCTTTATATTTTTATCAAACCACATCATAAGTTAGACCACAAAGGCTTCTACGTTGATTATGAAATATTATCTGCAGGTAGTTTTTAACAAACTCTCGCTCTCTATCTCTCTACAAAGATATCTGAGATAATGCTCTTTAACCCTTTGGATACTGCCTTTGCAAATTGTGTAAAAAAGGCACACAAAGATGTGCATTGAAAGAAGAAAATTGTATTCATTGTATTGATTAGGTTGAAGAATCTTTGATTTGTTTGCATCCCAGTATTGCAGAGTAAAATAAGTGTAATTGAACGATGGCATACCAGGACATCCTAGAACATATCTCTTGCCATCTGCTGAGTGCTAACAAAACCTATTGAAAGGCTGTACGATAGATCTGCACTGTTTTTCTACTTAAATTGCGATGAAAATAAATTATAATTCAATTTTGCAGCACTCGTTTTAACAATACAAACGAGGTTCCATTTTAGGTCTAAGACCTGATCAGGATGGAACTTTTTCTTCCAGGAATCCAGGTCTGAAAAATCAAGAAGATGTACCATGAAGGGTTACAGGAACAGGGAAGGGTGCTTCGGCATGAAGGACTTAATGAAAGACCAAGCGATTAGTGGTTTACAGCGACTCAACTCTGTCCCAATTCATCAAGACTAAATAGTGTACTTCAAACTAAACGCACCATCATTTCGTACAAATTTAATTCAGAGCAGGACAGATTTGGTGTACCGCAACGACACCTAGTGCAGCACATGTGTGACAGCCACTTCAGACATGGCATTCGCAGTCTTGAGCTCCTTGCTTCAACCAGAGGCATCTAAAGCATATGGTACATGTCTCTGCTTCAGCTAACTCTAGTTGGAGCAACCCACACAGTTCATGTTAAAAACTCATGCAGAATTTGAGAGAGAAAATGCAAATAATTAATTTTACTTCTACTTCCTAAGCATAATTACAAGGGTGAATAATTGGATTTACATGTGCTGCTTCTTTTAGTTTGCTTCATGGTCTATAACTTAAAAGTATCGATTCTAAAATTCCATCTTCACGCAATCCAGTTATTAATTGTTCCTGTTTCCACCTGTGAGTTTCTATTTAACAAAAAAAATATGTACATGTATAAATTTATGTCATGCTTAAATTCACTGGATATTGACTGATCAAAAACCATGAAGATATGAAGGACATCTTTATGATATCAGATATGGTTTGCTTCACAAAGATAATGGTAAGGTGACTAGATTGTTAGCAGTTCAGAGTTTGGTGCTGCGAGTGTGAGAAGATCAATAAATATTGTTGCTATGACAACGAAGGGTGAGAAAGCTGTGCGTTTTGTTTTAATTTAGAGTTACCTTCCTTATCTACCAGGTCATAATTATCCTCATCGACTGTCTTTTGGTCAATAAAGAATTGATCTGACTTGAAAATTCTTGAGTGGTCATAATCATAAAATCAAGCTGAGGTTAGGGGAAAGGATACCTGGTCTCCATGGTGATGGAGAAAGAGGTGTTTGGTGGTATTGGTGGCGTTGGTGGCTTTGGGGGTTGGGTGGTGGGTGTAGCATGCTTGGTTACTGGTGATGAAAATGATCAACAAACCACATCTATAGGGCTGTTTGGACATAGAGACCTTGACAGCCATCTCTTTTTATGCCAATTGAAACCACTGGTGCTAGACATGTCAATATTGAATGCAATAGATACATAATGCGCCCTTGAATATGAATGCCAATGATGCATAAGCTTTCATCATGAGATTCATGACAGATTTCCCCACACTTAATGACCTAAATTCTTGCAATAGATGAATTGATCATTCATAGACATGCCAAGTGAAATTGTGGAAAACCCACAAGCAACGACTTATCACAACTGAAAGAGCTTTCGCTGCACATGTAAGGGGGGAAATACCCTTGACTATAAATGTACACAGAGCATGCAGAATCAACATGAATCTGTGACAGAAATCCACAACTTCATAAAGCTTGCAACTTTTTGTTCAGCACCCCATTCCCTCTTCTAAGCAAACATGGAAGTCTGTCTGCAAGACTTGAGACAGACAATATGAGACATTGAAAAGAAAGAAATGAACTCTGAAGCCGTCTCTGTAAACAAAGACACAATGCAGGAAAGAGGTCATGCCCTTACAAGTAATCAATAATCCATTCTCTTTTTGTGTGCGATTCAATGCTAGAGGCACCTGTATTCCAGGGAACTCATTCTACTTCCACAGAATACGACACAACTTCATTATAGACTCAAGGATGTGAAAATAAATTCATCTTCTTCTTCATGGCACCCCTCCCGACGATCTCTCACACTGCCCCCCCCCTCCCCCACCTCCCCCACTTCAGCCCTTCTTCACAGTACATCTCTCTATAGATGTACAGCGTATTCTGTTTCATTTTTTTCATTATCTCCACTTCTCCCATCTCTCTACCCTGTTATTCAGATCAAGTATCTCCAAAATTCAAAAATAAACTCCAGACAATATTGGAAAAATAAAATATTATTTACCAAAAAACAGAATTTCAGGAATTCGCAAAGATTGATATCGCAAGCTCTCTGTTTTCTGTATAAAGCAAATATTGAACAAGATGATGAAATGTAAATGTTTATTGCTAGCCATGACCTTGCTTGGGTATTTCTCACAATTGCATCGAAAATGGGCTGAATATTCAACCTTTGTTTGTTTTTTATTCATAAATCACAATAATATTTGATCAATGACCAAATTGACTATTTTTTTTTTAAATGCTGGCATCTGTGAAGATTATGCAATTATTGCAATACAACTTTCTCATATATTCCTTCAGTATGGCTGTCTAGTATTTGTTTCTTCTCCAGATATAAGTGATACTGTGTTCCTTACTAGCTACATGTACGATATTTATCCGATTTCCAGTCTTTGTTTCAACTGTAAACAGTTATTTTTTGTCACCTGCTTTAGTCTTGTCAACTCCTTCAATGAGCTTATTCATTTGACACCTTCCAGGATGTATCTTATTACCATGTATGTGAAAGTCTGCCACAGTAGCACTCAAGTCCTTGCTAGCACATACAAAATGTAGTTCAATAGTGCATCTACCAATATCCTGCACAGTATAGATCGATTGAAGGTTAAGGGAATCCAATAGCGCTATGTCAAGCAATGTCTGTGTGTGGAATACAACATTTATTGGTTTTGGAAACATAAAGTTTGTCAGTGATCATGGTCTACTTACATGAACATTGAGAAATAGTTTGAAAAAATATCTTAATAATAATATATTCATTTAGCCTCCATGTACAAGCCCTTGCATGCCAACCTTGGCAGATGCTTCGCTCCTACAGATCTGATAACTTTATGAATAAATCAGAGGAAAATCTGCGTCATTTCTACATTGAACCCGTGTCATTGACCCTCCCACAAAAACACCCACAGTATCAAACCATGATCAAATGCTCTCTTGGTGACCCAATAAATCGTCCTATTCAACAATATATCCCTCTTTCAAAGGACTTCGTTTATTCTCCCAGTCATTGAATACCATCTCTTCCAGAATTTTCATTAGAAAATCTCAAGGCAGTTGCTCTGGTGCAATGTACTCTCATGACGTTCCAAAGTCTTTTGTGAGCACGCCGCCGGATGAGTCCTTTCAAATTAACGTCCGGTTAACTAATTCATCAATCTTTTCATAAACCTTATTCAAACATCATTCTTTTTATCACAGGCTCCGATATCCCATGGTGTTACAGTGTCTCTATGGAGCACATGGTATTGCAATCGGAGAGAGCAGGGGAACAAAGACAAACGCAGAAATCGGCAGAATAATGACAAATTCTGATTCAAGTTTACGCAATAGGCAGGCCCTATTTGGAAATGTACATGTAGTAGACTAATTCACAATCATACTAGGCTAATTTTGATTCTACAACAGTATGATACCAAGTAGGACATCTTTGAATCAACTATTCACAATTCAGAGGGATACGATTCAAGTGTGCACTAATAGTCCGTGTCTACGTTGTTG